GGAAATGAAAATTGCTAAGTCACTCAGAAATAGCAAATAGCAGATGCAAGGCTGCCTACAGACTCATAACTTGCTCTCATGCACCTTTCTGTATTAGGCAAGATTCTCCATTCATGTCACGACGTGCTCTGTCTTCCACGGGAACACGTCTCATTCAGTGCATGGAAAGAGCCACTGGGAGGAAGAAGCAGGGTCACGCAGCAAAATCAGGTCATCGTATGCTGGACTGAAGCCTCATTAGCTGCAAAAAAGCAAAAGCTGCAGACAGTACAGGGCCATCCTCTGACTCTCTTTTCCAAGATTTCCCTCTTCTTCTGCCTGAGAATCATATGAGAATGGATTTTGAGGAATATCTGCTTCCCTGAGATGTGGGCAGCCCTGTATTTTGATGAGCAATCCCATTGCTACTGCATATATCACAAGGGCTACGAGAACAGAGCTTTCCCTTGCTGTAGCTACCTAGCCATGAGCTCTGATGCTTCCAAAAACTCAGACAGTCTCAAACTCTCACCTGATATAGAGTAGCTGTAAAATGAACCAAGGAAGAGCAAAGAAAAAAAAAAGAAAAAAAAGAGAAGGCAGCTGGGGCAGTTGAACATCACCCCAGTCCATAGTTGAGTACTCTGGGAACACGTTCTCACTCCACACTGCTGCAGGGAGGAGTTCAGCCAAGTCTGTTTTGGAAAGTGGGACACAAGTTTTGAGTATTCAACAGAATAACCCTCACTTTAAATTCACATCATCACTCACTTCAGAAGAGCTTACCTGAATCGGGGCACCACAGCTCTTTGTCCAAACTGAGACATCATAAAACATTTCATCTTATGGTTTAAAGAGTTTAGGAAGTGAAATGCTGCTCTAAAAAAGTTTAAAACTTGTCTACATAGAGTACATGCACTACTTCCTTGGCTCAAATCACTCACATGATAGATCTCTAAGTCACTTTACAATAGCAAAAACCCACAAAAGCAGTACTGCTGGATGGGCCCAAGAAGCTGCAGATAGTGAAAGCACTGTTTTCCCCTAGTAAATACAAGCTTTCAGCATACCATTGACTATAGTGCTGACCAGATGGTGGTGGGAGCAGTAACTTGGATGATGTTAATTACAGACAAACTCCAAAACAACTGATGTCAAAACTCACTTTGAAAACACACCAAAATGGGCTGCTAAGCATATGGCAGCAATGCTCCTCTAAAACTGTATTTTGTGTATGTTAAACAACTAACAGGCTCCACCAAGGGGTCTGAGGATCAGCAGCCAGAGCAGCAGGGTCCCAGATCCTGACTATTTGATGCTTGTCCCTTTATAATGATGAGGAAAAGGTACTGACATGTGGTAGTAGTGGCAGCCACGAGCTCCTGGACCAGGTCCTTTGCAGGGTGAGCACACACAACACGTGCCACCAACACAGCCAGTTCCCCTCTTTTAAGGACAAGGCCTTGAAGGAAACATCTCAGATGATCTGCTGAGCAGCACTGGATGATTTCTAATGAGAGGATGAGCCCTGCTGTGAAAGCCCACCATGCAAGCACGCGGATCTATACTCTAGTACTTTTAAAAATTAACACTGTGCAGTTTGCAAAATAAACACAGTGAGCAGATTGAGAAAAATTATTCTGGCATCTGCCAACCACCAGCAGGGACTTCCCTAAAAGCCTGTGTGTTTTCAGAGGTTCTGCAAAGGCCAGCTTTACACCAGCAGGTATCAGCATCTTTACCTTCAGTTTGGAAGTAAATTCACTAGGCACCACCCCACCAGAATGGACTTGGATACAAATACATATTTTTTAGAAAGATGATTTAGCCTAAGTTTACAACTTAGGGGCCTATATTCCAGCAAATGTCAGCTCTGAATAGGATCTGTTGATTACAGTTGAACCAATCACTGGGAGCTCCCACCTCTGCTCAAGTGTGCTTTCCTTGACACATTATTCTCAACTTCTCCTCCAGCAGTTATTTACCTTGTAACTTTTAGGCTTGCTTGGAGGTGCAAAATCCCAAGGAAAATAGGATGGGAAAAGACTGTGGGAAGTCAGCCAGCCTTTTCCCCTGCCCCAAAGCTGAAATGTAGCTGTTGCTCCCGACAGCTGCTTGCTCTTAATATATCTCCATTTGTGGAAGAGCTACTACCACCTCCCCACACATCTGTTCAATGATTCCCTGTCCTTTGGCCTTCGAAGAAACTACCACTCATCCTAACTACAATTTAAGCCCAGTCTACAACATGATTTCAAGCCCAGTTCTTTCAGTGCGTCCTCACAAGTGCATTTTCCCACAGTTTCAAGATATCAGTCACATCACTCTCCACTGCACCCTCTAGTCTGGTGCAGCATCTCAAGCTGCATACCTACAGGTGCTCCTGTGAAGCACAGGACTACCTTGAGTCTCACCAAATATATGACCATTTGTGAGCCTTAGCCTGAAGCTTGCTTTTTTGCCACATCAGGACAGAGTGCCAGATCACTTTAATTAGTTGGGCCAACACTGAACTTGTGCAGTTTAACCCTATCTAAACTTACGGTCTTGTGAAAAGGATCCTGTCTTTCTCCACCATCTCCTCCTTGTTGAAATCAAGTTGCCAAGACTATTTTGAATTCTAATGCTATCTTATCTTTCACATCTGTCCAGCTTCCTGTTGACTGCAAATTTAAAGTGCACACTACTTTGTTATTCAGGTTGCTAATAAAAATGAAAGATAAGTGACCAAGAGCAACTCCCACAACCCCATGCAATACGGTCTTCCGTTCTGGTTCTGACACTGGGTGCAAGACGGAAGGAAACCACTCCCAGAGCAGAGCTGCTTACAGCCTAGCTCAGCCCAGTTCCAAATACAATTCAATCTCTGAAACCACGCTTTCCCTTCTTGCAAACCACCTTCTGTACTTGCCCAAGAGTCACTACTGATTTTATCCTATAATCGAGTGCAACAAAGGTGCCCAATTAATCATCTGTGAGTTTGTTTTAGAAGAGGACTTCAGAGCTTGCCCCATCTCACATAAGTTTTAACCAGTAACTCCTTTTACTCTTGGCTCTCAGGGGGATTACATTAGCATCTGCAGACAAAGTGCACAGATTCCTCTCAGCAGATTTCTTCATTTGCCAGTGTTACTGCACAGCTGTTCAACTACTTATTTTCCTGTCACCCACTAATAAGAGCCTAAACTAGGTAATTACTACTTCCTACTTTCATGAAACTTGTTCAGTATCTAAGCCCACTGCTGTTTATTTCCACAAAAGGGCTATTTAGAGTTTTAACAGCTGGCTTACCAGGAGACTGAGGCTTTGTAGCCATAAATAAATGTATCCGTACCTTCACTTGGGAAACCCCTTCCTACCCTAACCGTGTGGGCAGGATTACAGATTACAGTGTTGACTGAAAACAGTGCACCTACAGAAGGGAACTGGAGGACCTTGCCTTTGCAGCCAGAGAAGTCAATTCACCGAGATCGCAGCCAGACCATGTTTCAGAGCTAGAATAAATATTATCTGGTCTTCTACTCTTCTCTTTGCTCTGTCACCATCTTAATAGCTTCAGTTCTTGGTTTGTTTTTTTTCTTGGCAAAGCACATCTTACCTTTTATTCACACCCTCTGAGGTATTTTCTTCTTTTACTTCTTCCAGGAACTTGTCTTCCTTGGGGGAGGAAAAGCCAAATGGATTGTCACATTAGCTTTCTCATTCCATGCCATCACACTTAACTAGAGTGCTTTCAATAGGTAAATTAGCTTTTAAGTGATCCCAGTTGTACTGTTGGCCTTTGCTACAATCCTACATTAAAGTTGATTCAATTTTACTTACTTCTACTGCTCAGTTAAGAATAATACACAAAGAGAAGTGTAGTTCTGCAACTAGTAATTGCAGTCCAGCAGGGAGCTGCACTGTTCCGTCACCCACAATGACTGATCACTGCAATATAGAGCATTTCCCATCTCCCCAGGAGAGGAACTGGCTGTACCTCACTTGCTACCACTTGAAGTAGCTATTTGAGGAAGGAGCAAGAATAGTGATCCTCAGTTGCATAAGATTATTTCATATAGCTTTGTGCATGTGTATGCCACCATCTGTATGCTCAGCGCTACACTGGAGCAAATATCTGCGGGGCGAGATGTGCAGTTAACAGGAGCTTCTGAAGGAACTGAAGTCTTCGCTCCAACAGCAACTTCTTTATTTACTCATCTAGAAAAAGAATTATTTTTGTCAACAGTGATCAGTGTCACTTTCTCACATACAAATATATATTAACATGTCAAGAGTCCAACAAGTCTTTCTGGTGTTCTTGTTATTACAGATATTACCAGTATCAATATCATAGATCATTGCCCCTCATAGTTGTAAAAAAATAATTTATAGCTTCTTAATGGCTAACCAAACTTTTAAAATTTTGTATAGATAAGTGTGTAAGCTGGTTCAGTAATTAAAGGCCAATCCTCTTTATCAATTTCTCTTTATCAGATCAAAGGCTGCCCCTAATCACAAGGCTGGAGCCTCTGTCATACCTTGCTCCAGCCTTTGTTATATGCCTCAAGTATTTTTTTATTACATTCCATTAGCTGACTCGAAATATGTCACTGTATTTTGGGTTTATGGCACAAGTTACAGTAGGAGTTGGCTCATTTAAACTGACTAACATGATGCACTGAAATGCCATCATCTAGGCTTCCTCATTTCTATCCAATTTAAAACCATTTTGAGATTAATTTCCCCCTTGTTCAGGAAAATCCTTATTGTAGCTGAACTAACAAAATAAGTATGTGTTGCAACAGTCCGCAATGAATACAGTAGTACATTTGAGATGATTACAGAGTATGTAATCACCAAGACACACTTTTTTGGTATCCAGCATCTGTTACTCCCCGGACTAACTTGATGTCACTTTCTTCTCAGATGACCAGAAATCTGCCCTCCTCCTCCACCCAATTCTACACATAAGCAGCATATGACATTATCTGCCACAGACTACACATTTTCCACTGGTAAAATTCATAAGCAGACACAAGTGCAAAGCAAAATGTCATTTTATTTAATTCAAGGACTATTTTCCTTCTAGTATTGCTGAAGGGATCACCTCCTGGGGAATTGATCATTACAAAGTCCCTGTCTAAAAGTTCAAGTGCTCTTGTTGTACATTCTTTTGAACCACAGAAAACATAATGACCAAGTAGGTGGGCAGCTACTTGCAGTTTTATCCCACCTAAGTTAGCATTGCTTCAGGCTAGAAAACAATTCAAGTAGTAAAATAATGGAAAATGTTAACCTTTAAGGTCACTACCATATTTTGATCGAAGAGTCCTGAATGTATGAAAAGAACATTTGTACATGTTATGAAGGTTTTTTTTAACCAGACACTGTCAAAGATGGCAGTTAACTATTTTGGACCAGTTGCCAACCAGATATTTAAGAGTTCTATCTGAAGGTTTATTATCAATTTCATTATGCAATTCACTTTTCACATTAAGCTCTTTAACAAAAGCAACAATACCCGCACCAGAATCACTGTAGACAGATTTAGTTTTATAGAATGCCCTTCTGAAAATTCATTTCAAAATAGAGATGCTTTTTCTCCAGAACTGTAAAAGCCATAAAAATGCAAAATATCTGTTAGGAAATTTTTAATCAAAATTATTCCTTAATGTTCAAAATAACATTTAACCTCCTACTTTTTTGTTGTCATCCACATATTGATCAATAGACTAAACAGGTAACAATGGTTCACATTTTTCCCCCACCTGAAACATTTCTTCTAACACAGGCCCAAGACAGGCAATACAGAGAGTCAGGGACATGGATTATGCATGGCAAAGGTAATCCTCTATCATTTTAATTTAGAACAACTCTCATTCTAGCACACAACTTTGAGTCTCAGTTGTTTTCAATCTGCTCTAGGTCCAAGTCCCCACAGTCTAGAGGAAAGATGCCTTCTTCGGTGCTCTCACAATCACTTGTGTCCTCATCACTTTCACATACTGCAGCTGCCTTCTTATAATCCCTTGTTTTGAAGCTACCTTGGCATGACCCATGATGCCTTACTTCATCCAGTTGTTCTTTCATCGGACTGGAACCAGGGGTGATGATGTTCATAAGATCATTTGAGTCACATGGGGATGACACAATTGTCTTCATTTGTGTGTCATCGTCATCATCTTCATAGTCAAGGGAGCAAAGACTTTTGGAATTTTTTAAAGTCTGCAATTAAAAAAAACAGGAATATTTTAAACATGACTGTACAGGAGGAGAGGAATAAATTTCTTAAATTCTTGAACACAAAAATCAGAGTTCCACATGTTTAAATTTACTTACTAGGCAATCTGGCTTTGCAGATATTTTGCCCATGCAGATTCCCATTAGCAAGAAAAACTACCAATCGCCTTTTTATAATACAGAAAGATCCAAAATGCTAGCTTTAGACAACTAAATGAGGAACTATAGACGCCCAGTTTGATATATTAGCTTTATGGCAAATCCAGAGCATAACATTTGTGTCAGCCACATTGTAGCCTAGTCAACAATTAATTTCTCCAAATTCCTAAGTGTGAAGACAATGTGCCCTTAGGCATTACCTCAGCAAGAATCTGCAAGGCAACTGGCATATCTGGGTAACCTCACAACAGGAGAAAACCAAGCTTCTACTATAAGCATCTTGCTCCAGAATCAGTTTAGTTTCTCTTACATTTGGGTACCATTTGAATAAGACCTCAGGAATTTGAACAATTCTGTTTGAATGGAAAGTATAATAAAACCAGAGGGGCACTCACCTTCATTTAGACAAAAGGAAAAGAAAATTTCAGTATATGTGCTACCTCTGTCCCTCAGATAAGGGAATAAAATGCCTAAGCTCCTCATGTTACTGTAAGGAATCCTTGACTAGAATCCAGAAGCAGCATTTAAAGAAAAACAGAACTACACAGACAGCAGAATTTAAGATTTCATAAGTTAAAAACTCCCTAAATTTCACCTCATACAAGCACACAGTGAGAGAAGGGTGAAACAGTCAGGTGTTAGGAGCCAGAAGAATAAAGTTGTGCTAGCTTTCAGTATCTTACTGGTTAAGTGACTCCAGTCTTTCATGCACAGGGCAATTGTTTTATTAGAAGTAGATCCATGGGGAAACAAGACCAACTTTCACACCCATTTTCAGCTTCCTCCCCCAATTTGTCATTTCTTAGGTATTTTATATTTGTTGATATATTCAGCTGTAATAGGAACATTAGGAACATTGCAACATTCCCAGTGTGCTATATTCCAGATGCTCTTCCAGAGCACTGGATCATCTTTCCACTTCAGCAGCCACATGAACAGTTTATGAGTATCTTTGGGTGTTTTTTAAACAAAACTTCACAAATTCAGAAGAAATCTGAGTTCGTCAGCCTTGGCTGTATATAGGAGGAGAGGAGAGTAAGGAAACCTCACTGAGATAAAGTGATTTGCCTGACCCTTTAGGGTCGATGTTACATGTGGAACATACTGCAGACAAGTCCACTGCCACTCCGCAAGTTCATACAGTTCCATGGACACCCCTACATCAAACCTACAGAGAAAGTTCATTTGAGGGAAAGGCAGGGTAAAGGTAAAAAGCACAACACGAGTTCTGGAGTTCAATCACAGCACAACTCGCCTGAGGAGTGAACAGCAGTACCAGTATGGGATGGTGGTTCACCATTGTTGGTATTTCTCGGTAAGAAACACACTACAGCCGTATTCCCCAAGGCTGCACCACGTGAAAACACTTCAGTTTGACACTCTTCACTACTGATGAGGTTTGTTATATGCCTGTATTGCACACAGCTGGTTTTGCTCAACTTTCATACCTTGTAATATATATTAGATGACTGGTTAACTAGTCAGATTTCAGGCCAGAAGGAACTATAAGGGATAATCTAGTTTGCTTGGACAGACACAAACAAGATTTCATTCAGGAGCCAATCTGTGCAGCTCCAAGACCTGCATCCAAAAATCGATTTTCAGAAAAAAATAAAAAGCAAGTTGACCATAGTTCTTGTCAGGAGGAATTCACCAAAGTCTTTGTTAGCTACAGTTAAAACCCACATCCAATTTTGCATGTGACTAACATCAACAAAACTGATAACCTTGCCTGAGCAAAAAGCTTCCTATCTCCAAATTTCACTCCTTTATGAAAACAGTTTTGGTATAAAATTCATTGTGTTTTCAAAATATTTCTATATAGCTCACTTACAGCTAATTCAAGTACAAACATTTAAGCTCCTTCTCATGACTAAGAGGTGTGAATTTATCTCATATTTACTTAAAAGCAAACCAGTATATTTTTGAAGTAGAAAGTGTGAAAGGATATTTTAATCCTAATTCTATCTCATTGCTTTGAAAAAGAACACATTTCCTGTGGTGTATCTCCATATAGGGGACAATATTTTCAGTTCTTTAAATCTTACAGTAGGCACTGGGAAGGAAAGGGATCAAAATAAAGGAAAGCTTTGAAAGTTCTGCTTTCAATGTTTTAGAAAGGAATTCCCGAGTCCCCCTTCAAAATATCTTTTATTCAATTTACTGCTAGAAATTAATCCAACCACACAGCTGTCTTTCTAGAAGGTTTGTGTACATAAATGGAAAATTGCCTGCTAGCTGTACTGTGCTGAAACCACTTGAATGGGAACTTTTAGCCGGTTTCAACACAACAGCAAGTGCATTCAACTGGTTCTTTGTTCACCCACTTGTCACAACCTCACCGAACTAAAAATAGGTGGATTTATTATCTCACAGCACAATCCCACTTTCACAAAGCAAAAGGTAGAAATTGCAATGCATTCAAGCCCTCTGAACTGCAGCTTTACATGTTACACTGGTACAGTACCACACCTTTCAAGCACAATTGTGCTCAGTGGGGAGCCTGCGAGTACTTGCTCAATGGTCCTCATTTTATAAAGGATGCTGGACTAACAAGACAAAAGAGTCCACAGTTGGCAATGGATAGAACTCAATCAGCTAAAAGTATTCTTTTGTGTGATGGAAAAAAAAGAAAAAAGAAACTCAGAGTTTTAAAAGAAGTGAGGCGATAAAATGTCTGAATATTAAGAAAAAAACTTTGTACCGAAAACAATGGCAGGGAAGGAAATAAAAGAAATCTCTCTAGACTCTTGCCATACAAAGCAAACAAGAAAGGCCCAGAGTAGCTTGAAAGGAAGCTAATGTCTGTACTCTTTACTAAACCTCCAGTTCAGAAACCCATAATACATCACTTTCCAAATATAAAAAGCAATAAAAAGGTTGTTTTTGTTTTACTAACAAAACTAGAGCATTTGCTACAGTAGTCAAGGGAAAAATAAGACATTTATGTGCATGAAAACCTAGTGTATAATGGGAGCAGCAGTTCTCATGCTTCTTCCCCATGCCCCCATCATACACCAAGTCCACCCATTTCCCCCTCAGTTTTGAATGGGGGTGGAAGATACAGCTGCTCTGAAGAGGTGCAGCTGCAGCAGCTGGCACAAAGCAAAGAGCAGAGGAAGCCTGAAACCACCAGAAGCCCTAAGCCCATCCTACTGCTTCTCAGCACTAGTCATCACAAGAGGATGGGCTGCTCCCTGAAGCCACAGGCTTAGGAAGAGAGGAAACTCAGACTAATTAGTTACCTGGTTTGCTTTCTGTCTCATCCTGTGGCTTTTGCCTATGACTTAAAGCGGTATCTCTTGGTTTGCAAAGATAGGGATACATCAGGTTTCTTGACTTAAGGTCTCTACCAGGGATATGAAAGATGTGGGTGATGCAGTGGTCCTCACAATTAGGAGATCCTGGAATATCAGCAACCAAATCCAAGCATAAACCACTGAAAAGGCAGCCTGAGCATAGAGCAACACATGGCTTTTTCTGTTACTACCCTGTACCTAGCCAGTGAATGGAGAAGGAACAAGTCAATGGAGCAAGTTACATGTGCTACATTTCTCCCTTTGAGGGCTTCACAGGTCCTTATTTCACTTTCTAGACTTACGTTTCCTACAGATGAGTCAGAATGGCTCAAAACCATATGCCTTTACAGTTGGTAACTCATGCCAGTTACATTTTAGATTAGAAGCACCATGTACAGCCTGTGTTCCTACCTCAGACACCACCCTATTCCTAAAGGGTTACAGTTTGGCCTCTGCAATAATGAAGTCCAACCATGGTAGAAGTTTATTACACTGAAAAGACTTCATTTAATGAAGCTAAGAGGGTAACTTAAGGACTTTAAATTATAAAAAAAGTCATGAAAGACATACTAAGCAGCTCACTGAATCATGTTGAAAACTGCCTTCTGAACACACCATCACCTGACTGACATCACATCCTACCACAAATAGATGCCAGTGTCCCCCTCTAAACTGAATTTTCACTTCATGCACCTAATTACTTGCATTAATATCATTACAATCCAAGCTGAAGACATGTACAGCGTTCACTCCAAATCATCAAAAGTGTCAGCTGTCTGTACAGATTAAAAAAATATCCCACCAGTCTTAAATCTTTGCATCTTCTACTAGGCATAAAGTGAAAAATAGTAAGAAAAATGCTGTGTTTATGTAACAAACTGTTAACCTTTCTGTGGAGTAAAGCTCTTCACGTTTGACTGACTTCTCTGTCTTGAAGAGCTCTGAGCATTTTGTGAACACTTCAGTGTTCACAGATAACCTTAGCTTTAAGAAGCTGGTGCAGTTGAGAAGTAACACTGCTTCATCAGTATGAAGTAGTGCTGACAAGAGGAAAAGAATATATTAGTCTTCATAATGTCTATATACTTAAGGCTTGCTAATACACTCTAAAAGTTAAAAACCTAAGTTAACTGGGAAAGAATTTATCTCTGCTCACATGGGAAAATAAAGGTATAGAAATACTTTAAGTTTTTAAACTCAAGTGTCTGAAAAATACTTCAGGTTAAAAATATGCAATGGCTTTTGAACTGTGCATTTGAAATAAAACAAAGTCTTTTTCCTGCATTGAGCTACAAACCAAGTAGTCAAAAACATTTCTATTTATGTATTTTGTGGAAACGTAATCAAATCCCTAGAAAATTACTGACACCCTCACAGGCAAAATCTAGTCTCTGATCAAATTCACCTTGGGAACTAAACTTTCTGTAGTGCTGCAGTTATCCCTCATTTTCCTGGAAATTTGTCATGTATTTTTATATTAAAAAATGCAATGCTTATTTTATCATCTATAACTAGGAAGCAAAAAAC